AGTGTTGTGGGGGGGAGGAAGCAATGCTGTGGGACCACCAGAGACAGCCCCCCTCCCCGAGGGATAAGCCTAATGCTAACCCGTACCCCTAATCCCAACTTTAAATCCTAGCCCTTAGCCCTAACTAACTGTACAGGGGTGTTGTGACAGGTAGTTGTGAGCCATGTTCTCCTGCTAACCGATAATTAGGGTTTTCTGGTGCTGTGAGACCGTTGTGGGAGGGGTCAGGGGGCTGCAGAGGGCATTATGGGATGGGCTGGGTTAAGGTTGGGGTGTGGTTTACTCAGGTGTTTTCATTTGAGGTTTTTGATGTCATTGGGTTGAGTGGTGGTTTTTTGAGGTTTTATTTAAGGGTCCTGGGTGTTGTTTCGGTTGTGATTTGTGTGCTTTCTTACATAATTTTTTTTTTTTTAGTTTTTGCTGTAATTCTTTTGCTGTAATTCTTTTGCTGCAGCGTTTTGGCTGTTCTTGACCTGCCGTGTAGTTATTTCTGCTGCAGTTCTGGCGCGCTGTCAGCAGGTGCCGGCACTCAGCACTGATTTCAGGCCGGTACCTCTCGTGCTCCCCAGGTGGCAGCGCTGCCCCGCGATTATGAAATCGATCCTTGTAAGGTGGTTCTGTGCGTTTATGCACCTCTTGTTTCCATCAGGTTTTATTTTTTAAGGTGGTTGATGGTGTTATGCACATTCCGAGGTGATGTGTGGTGCTGACGTTGGAGATTTTTGAATGGGATTCTGATCGCCCCCAGTTTTCCCAAAATTAAGGAAGGGGACACAGAACTGTCCCAATTTGTGTCTGGGGGCTCAGGATCCTCCCAGTTTTTCCAAAAATTAAGGAATGGGACACAGAGCTGTCCCAATTTGTGTCTGGGGGTTCAGGATCCTCCCAGTTTTTCCAAAAATTAAGGAATGGGACACAGAGCTGTCCCAATTTGTGTCTGGGGGCTCAGGATCTTCCCAGTTTTTCCAAAAATTAAGGAATGGGACACAGAGCTGTCCCAATTTGTGTCTGGGGGTTCAGGATCCTCCCAGTTTTCCCAAAATTAAGGAATGGGACTCAGAGCATTCCCAGTTTTCCTAATATTGGTCTGGGGGCACAGGATCCTCCCACTTTTCCTCCAAAATTAATGAAAGGCACCTGTGGAATTCCCAACTTCCCCCTCCCCCCCGAATCACAACAGAAATCCTGGGAATTCAACTCGAATAATATTTTCTTTATTTACACGTCGAAAGAATTCCAAAGGTCGGAAAAACAAGATGAAAACACAACTCTACAGGGGCTACAGAGGGGGGGCGGGAAAAAGTGGGGGAAAAAAGGTGGGAAAAGCTGGGAA